CGGTGACGTCATCAGTGACGTCACTGATGACGTCATAAGTGATGATGACGATGACGATGCGGATGCCGGTGAGGTCATCAGTGACGTCACTGATGACGTCATCAGTGATGATTACGATGACGATGCGGATGCCGGTGACGTCATCAGTGACGATGACGTCATCGGGGAGGTCACGTGACCCTGGGGGTGGTCACGTGACCCGGGTGTGTCACGTGACTTCGGGGGGGCATCCGCATCGTCATCGTCATCATCACAGATGACGTCATCAGTGACGTCACCGATGACGTCACCAACATCCGCAACGTCATCGTCATCATCGCTGATGACGTCATCGGAGTCCGCATCGTCATCGTCACTGATGACGTCATCAGTGACGTCACTGATGACATCATCGGCATCGTCACGTGACCCCCCAAGGTCTAGTGACCCCCCCAGGTCATTTCACTGCCCAGTACCCTTCCCTCCTCCTCCTCAAGAGCTGCGCTCATAATTCGGTGTTACAGGGAGTTGTAAACGGCTTTCACTTTTTATACCAAACGCACTGTTGCCAAATTTTTCAGTTATTGTTATTGTGAATGTCCCGTTGTTAGATATCTGGGATTGCTTTAAACCGTTCATTATAAAACGGCTGCCTAGCATTTCAGCAAAACAAATTACTGGAAAAACCGAAAAATAACCGGTTTTTAGGAACGTGTAACCGGTAACTGAAACCGTAAAAATTGAACCCGAAAAAACTAGACGAAACCGATATCCACAGAAAACGGTAACCGTAACCGAAACGTTTTTTTTTTTAGTCCCTTTTTGCGGGAATGTCACTCTGCGGGCAGGGCAGCGGCGTATCACGAAGCACTATGGCGATACCAGAGTGAATGAGTGCAGTCCTGTGCTCGCGCGCTCACTCTCGTTGGCATAACCGTAGTGCACCGTGATAGTGGTATAAAATTGCAAAGCCACACACACTTAAAATGGCCTAGGACTGATGGTCCCGATGTGTTTTTGATATTAAAAAAAAGAATGCAAATACGCGAGAGGGTTGCCCTCGTGGTAACGTGTTCAAAACTTTATTTTTTTGGTATTAAGCGCATATATTTTATGCTCGTGAATGTGTAGTTTTATATTTCACATTTAAAACTATTATTTGCGCGTAGAGGCGCGTAAGCAGATAAAACGGACATTCGTTCTTGATGGTTTTGTTTTCCACGTTGAACCGTTAATTTCCAATCTGAGGAGGCGAAGCAGCGTGTTTGACAATACATATTTAGAGCCGAGTTCAAAACGAGCGCTGACTCACCGCTGCTTCGAGTGGAAGCACAGGCAGAGCCTTTAAACGTATCCTTCACAGGCCATGGACAGCCAGCGGCTGGTGGGTCTCAACCCACGAATGTCTTTTAGCTTGACCTCTATCCTTCGGCCTGTCACTGATTGGCATCCCTGCTCGGGTAGTCTGAAGGAGGCACTCAGGCACAAAAACCTCCACTACCTCGGCAAACTGAAAATCCGTACGAATTTATATATAAACAAATATGGCTCGAATGGCTTATCCTCGACAGCATGTTCCAGTTGTTATGCAAATCCAAGTTTACACAAATAGTTTAACAAGACTTGTTTTTTGGGCGAGTTGTGCATGATGCTCAGGAAACTTGAAAGCACGAACAGACACGAACACGAAGAAGGGGACAAAAACATTCGTTTGTTCGTGTCCGTTTTTCGTGTTCGTCCATGTCTAACGCATACTAGTTTCCTCTGCTTAGACATTTTTTTACAAAATTGTTGCACGAAGCGTTCGCTTCACTACCAGTTTAGTCGTTGACATCACAAAATTACATGTTGATAAACGTTTATTATCAGTAACAACATTTTCAGAATGATTTCTTTGTATTTGAACTTTCCGCATTCGTACAATTCATACCGAACTCGCCTGGAACTACGTCGTTACATAGTTAATTTAAAATGTTCATAAAAGTAAAAAAAAACGGTTGTTCTTTTTACAGGAACTATAAAAAAATGAAAGCCGTTTACAACTCCCTGTAACGCTGAATTAGAGCGCAGCTCTTGAGGAGGAGGAGGGAAGGGTACTGAGGGTCACGTGTTCTCGGGGGGGGGGGGGGGTCACGTGACCTGGGGGATGTCACGTGACCTCGGTGGTTCACGTGACCCCCCAGAGAAAATGTTCCGCTAGATTTAGCGGGGAAATTTTTTCCGCTAAATTTAACGGAAAGTTTTTCCGCTAAATCTAGCGGGGAAATCTTTCCGCTAGATTTAGCGGGGAAATTTTTCTGCTAAATTTGGCGGGGAAGTTTTTCCGCTAGATTTAGCGGGGAAATTTTTCGCTAGATTTACCGGGAAAATTTTTCTGCTAAATTTAGTGGGAAAAATTTTCCGCTAGATTTAGCGGGGAAATTTTTCCGCTAGATTTAGTGGGGAAAATTTTCCGCTAAATTTAGCGGAGAAAATTTCCAGCTAGATTTAACGGAGAAACTTTTTCGCTAAATTTAGCGGGAAATTTTTCCGCTAGATTGATTTAGCGGGGAAATTTTTTTGCTAGATTTAGCGGGAAAATTTATCCATAATGCACCGCGCGGTTACGCCGACGGCAACGCCGACGCCGACGGCGACGGCAACGCCGCTCAAGCCGGAAACGGGCGCCTAAGAGCTGCGCTCTAAAACAATATCTAAGGGAGTTGACAATGTAAACTCAAAACACGGTTCAAACAGTTCCACAGAATTAAAATAGTTAGCGAATAGTCAAATCATCGATGTAATCATTAAACAAAATTTTGACTTTTTAAAGCGGAGTACTACAGCACTATTTACACTTCAACTGCGCTTCTTTTTTCTTTTTTTGTAGTTTAATAAACGAGAAGGGCGGCTCTCGGGTGCTTGCCAACATCAGTTGCTCAGTCAGCAGACGTAATCGTATGTACGTAGAGGAAACAATCTGAAAATAGAGGAAACAATCTGAAACTACGCTCACTAGCCTGTATTTGCATATACGGGAGAACACTGAATCTAAGCGAAGTAGTATCCTGCCCCTGTGCTCACTAAGTTTGCATTGATATGACATAGTCATTCGTTGTGGCAGCGGTAAGCACACTTTGGCAAGAGATACTTTATATTTAGAAAGTGAATAGAACAAAGGTTTATTTATTTCCACACCCCAAACAGAGTGGCCATGACTACAGCAAATCCAGCACAGACGCTTTAGACTGCGCCGCAGAATGGGACTTTGTATCGTTGGAGAGTGCGCAATAAAAGACCAGGAGTACGATGTGGCATCGTTACCTTCGCGTCTACACAATATTTTTCATGCTCAGTATAGTAGTCCAGGCATACGTGTTGTATCCCTATACATGTCCGCAATTAACGTTGCTCCAAAATATATTTTTCTTTGGAAATGACACTTTTATTGCGGACGAAGCTTCGACATAAGTTTTAGCTTAATGTTCTAGACCTGGCCAAGCCAACAGTAGTAAAATTCCCTAACAAAAAGCACCGCGAAGTACAGGGTGATTCAAGGAGAGGCCAGGCTCTTTAAATCGACCGCAAAATTTGGTTTACTGCGTACTGCGCAGAAGGCACCGCAGTAAGCTTCAGCTTGACAATACCTACTACGGTTTTTGAATGCAAAGTTTGAGACCATTTCCAAAGCAACGAAAAGGATAAAAATCGTGAAGCCTATTTTTATAAATTTTGTAAATAATTATCGCCTTTATCGTTTTTATGTAAGGATCATGTTTTAGTTTTAATTGAATACGACTAGATTTTTTTTAAAAGAAGTAGGTCTTTGGGGTACGATTTTTCTTCGGAAATATGTTCGCATTATAGTTGAGTCTGCTTAATGTATTCATACTTTTCAGTTAACTCTACAAGAAAGACAAGAAGCACTATAGTAAAAACTAGGCCGTTCAGCTGATTATAAATACGTAGTCTAAAAGGAACTTTGTTAGCGATGTAAACAGTACAGTGTATGCATGGACGCCGCCATGGACCCACTGTTTACATCGCTAACAGAGTTCGTTTGCACGCTCTCACTATTTGCAGCAAAACGCCATTCCGCAGGTAAAAGATTTCTTTAGTTGTCGAAATTGTAACCTTTATTGTATCTATTCAAGTGAAACACAATACTATAGATAGCTAAATAAACGAATTCCACAAAATATATAACCATCCAGAGATATAACTTATGCACGTGGAAAGTAATCCAAGTTTACTTGTCGAATATTAAAAAAAACTAAAAACTCTACAACGATCCGTCTTGAAAAAAAAAAGCTGGATTTTGGCATGAATATATTTTTTTTTCATAATGAATAGTGCGAGGTTTTATGCAGTCCAACTGGAATGAGCTGATCTTTAGATTATTACCGCTAAACGATTGCTAGAGGCGGTGGGACAGATAGGTCACGTGAATACGTTACGCGTGTGTAGGACACTTTGTGTGTTCTTTTTTTAATGCGACAACATTTTTTGGGTCACCCAACCATAAGATTGTGTGAATTTTGCGAGGAAGCCCCTAAATGGGTACACAGTTATACTCTAATTCACTTTCCCCGGGAAATTTACCGGGCAGCGCTTCACCGTTAAATTTAGTGGAAAAACTTTAACTGGTGTATAATTATGTACCAATTCAGTTTAAAATAGATTGTCGCACGTAAGCGGGCTCTGTGCTGAGGCAGACCGAGAACGCTGAGCTCGACGGAGGCCTGAAGAAGTGCAAAGGCCTGAGGGAAGGCGTAGGTTGCGATTTTAGGACCCTCCGCAACCAAGTGCAAAGTGGAAGAATAGACCATTTTCAAAAGTACGTTAATACACTCTGTCTCAAGTCAAAACCGAACTCCTCTAATGGCGATATTACGCAGCTCCTTCACACTAGGAACAGCGAGCTCGAAAGCTTAACGCCAAAAGCAGGAAATGCTGTCTAACTTGGTCCTTGTACATCGCCTTCGATTCACGATGTCGAGGGTGCTTGATTTAGAAGAGCTTGTTCATTCATTAGCGCCATCAGAGCGAACATATTGGAGCTTTTTATTCTGCCACTAGGTGGCGCTGACTTTTGAGCAACGTCTATTGCAAACAAGAATCTCGAAGGTGTTGAGCATGGGTCTTCAAATCTCGGTGCCGAGCTGGGATATGGCCCAAAAAACGAGGGTGAGCAGACCGGTGCCCAGCAGGTCTCCAAGGGCAGTGACGTAGGGAATGGCGGAGGAGTCGGGGTCCACCTTGTGCCGCCAGAGGGCGCGCACGATGACGTTAGTTGTAGGGAGCAGCGCGATCACCTGAAAAGGCCACATTAGGCCAGGTGGTTATAATGGACAGAAGTTGGCGTCGGTATTCTTTATATATAGAGCGAAGTGTAATGGAAGTAGGCTTGGCCACGAAATGTGCCCTAGGTCTCTCGGCCAGTAGGAAACCCAGTTAATGGGCGCCGCGCCGCCATGTAAATATAGGGCAAACAACCCCGTTGCCATGGCATTGTCGTGGCAAAGAGGTTGTTTTTTCCATATTTTCATCGAGGCGGCGGCTGAATCGGTGTCGAACAAGTTAGATTCAAAGCCCTACGTGCACGTGCGAACGCTTCCAAAGCTTCGATGTCTACCGTCATGCTGTGACCAAACTTCTTTGGGTGCGCCAATGGCGTGTCATGCCGCTCGCTAAATACGAAGTTTCTCGCGACACATCGATGATGGCAGCCGTAAGAGCCACGACAGCGGGCAGACGAAGCAAACTGCAGACACGAAGTAGATGTAGTTAAGCCTAACGTAGCCGACCGAGAGCGATGATAAGAGCAGCGTCCATAGGTGCGCAGGGCAGTCTGTACTCGAGTTATTTCTTTGGCGTCGCTGAGCATCACGTCATGCCGGATCCTGCAGTAATTAAACGTCCTTGATATCAGTTGTGCCTACATATCCTCTGCTATAATTATAATGTAGTCCCTACTAAAATGCAGAAAACCAAAATGAGCTCCACTGGTTCTTGTAGTGGTTACAAATGTTATATACAAATAACTCCGGTGTCAGTCCGGCGCCACGCTCTAAATATTGTGAACTTGACATGCATCTCAGCGAAACTATTAGCCCGGAGCGCCATGCCATTTTACGAAAGACCCTGTCCTCATCATCAGCGCCCAACGATGACATGCTTGTTGAGACTGGTTCTCTACAAGGCATTTGTTTTTGAAGAAGCTCCACCCTGTCTGCTTGAGTGTTCAGAATTCATATACTGTACCGTCCAGAATGGCTGGTAATATCCCGCGCTAAGTGAATTTTAACAAAATTGACATGGGGGGGGGGGGGGGGGGGGAGGGGGGTCAGAGGGCTAAATTAGAGCTGAGGCAGCTCGAGTTTAGGCGCTGAAAAAGAGTGAAGTATTTATTATCTTTCGATACTATATTGTGTTATTTGTTACATTTTTAGAGCTTGTTATCCTAAGCACCGAACCTTCGGAGGCTTGTTGCCGCCTGTCTTACCATTCTCCTGCCATTGAGGTGTGCGTTCGTGTCCGTTGTTTATTCAATAAGAGTGATCCATTAATGCGCCGCATGTACCGCTGTGGCTTCCTTGAGGAAAGTGCAAGTGATTGATATTGCTCGGAAGCTCTACCGCTCTCTGCTCCGTTTCTTTGTTTAGGTATATCGTAAATACTTTCAAACCAAATCAGTTTCACTTTCACCCTGTAGACGTACAGATGAAGGAACTGTAGAAAAAAAGCAGCGGAAGCGCAGCTTGACAAATCCACAGACCTTAAATACTTTCAGGTAAGCAGTACAATTCTTTACAAAATTCACAAAATATTTGCACAAAATATTTACATAAAATATTTAATAGTGGAATACGCCCTACTCCATTCGTTTGCATAATAGACTGTGCGCCGACAGAACGAAATCCTCGCCGAGCGGCGTTGATATACCGAGTACGGAGAAAGAATGGACATCGCGCTGTCAACGTCTTCACACGTGCGACAAGGAAGAGGGCTGCCATCGGCGCATCAAGATACCGGATTCTCCAAGACAGCAAAGATGGATTTTTCCGCTGTCTCGAAGGGCTTCCACGACGATACATGTTCATAAGCAAACGTAAAGGCCCAACAAACACAGTTCTTAGTGCCAGCAGTTTTTTCTTCCTTTTTCTTGGAATGCAGTGTTTTGAAAATCCCGAATAAGCCAATATAAAACCAAACTTGACCTTCTTTTGCTATACTTTGTTTCAGCTTCCGTCCGAGCGCAGCCAAAGCTACGTGTGGCTGGAGCCAATCCCACGCCGGCAATAGGTCACGAGATCTCGCCTGCACTTTTGTATCACTCCGCTGCGCTGCTGGTCGTACGCGCCGCCCGTGCTCGCCGAGGATTTCGTCTGCTACTGGTGTATCAACGGTATCGTCTGCTACAGGTTTAAAAAGTGTCTTTTCACGTTCTGAAATTTAGTCAGAGGGGATGTGAGTACGTAGGGTGGCCGCTGGCGTCTGTGTCCGAGCTTTCCACCATTTCGCCATAGTTTCAAGATGTAAGTACACATTGCAAGGTGCCCGATGACCCGGCCGTGGTTGTTTCCTTGTATTGTCTGGATATACCGTGGCTCGAAACGCAGTCCTTTCCCCCAGCTTCTCAACGTTCAATGTGATTGGCAGGTAAATGGGTGCACTGATTTCGCCGCGTATTAGGGAATTGTATAGTGGCCCGGACGCTTTTCTAGTTTACAACGCATTCGCGGTACGACGCGGCCTGAGTCTCCTGCCGAATTCGAAAGTAGATATTCATCACGACTTCTCACGCCTGACGCCCAAACGTGTCTTTGCGAAAGGTCGTTCTGAAGCGACCCGGTGGGGAAAGCAGCGAAGCACATGATTCGGCCGTTACGGGAACGAAATCACGCAGAAAACCGAGCGCTGCAGCCGTGTTGCCAGAGGATGTGTGTGTTTTCACCAAACCACATGCATTTACATATATTAATAAAAACATAAACTTCAGATATTTAATCCTTTGAGTTACAAATCATTCTCTGCAATATAAATCTGGAATATTGTGCAATGTTTAGGTACAAAACGGTTATTTATAAAATTATTACTTTTGCGGACTACTTTGTGGTGCGTAGGAATGCTCTTCTCGAAGTGGCGAACCGTCCCTCAGCCCTTGGCTGCGCTCGGATGGAAGCTGAAACGAAGTATAGAGTCTGGTATCTTGAACCTAATTCGCCGAACAACTGCCAACGTTATGCTCCCCCGGGGGGTAGTTTGGCTGTCGTCTGGCATCTTTGGGACTAAATTACTAAACACGTAACATAGTTATTGTTCACTTTTGGGTGTTCGGTTTTCATGCGGCAAATATGGTCCTAAACTGCCAAATAAGTGCCGGATTTAGGCCTCACTGCTGGTTCTTAGGTTCATTTGTGGCATCTTTGGCTCAAGTGAGGCACTTTGGCGATTATGTGGTGAGCCAGAGGGAAAACCAGAGAAGCGGCAAAGAAAACTCTGGCACTAACTAACGCCTTGGACCAAAAGATCCCCGAAGATTGCCAAGCTTGTGCAGGAGTTAGGGCTGGTTCACTCACTCGCGACTGCTTACGGCTAAGACCTTAGAACATCTTAAAAATTCTTACGAAGAGAGAATACAATGGCGCCATCTAGCGGGGATTCGTGGAACAAATTGGATTTTCGTATATTTCTTAATTTTTTTTGCGCCTTCTTTCTTCTTTCTTGGCTTCTAAGAGTGTTTTTTTTTTGACAATGTTATAAACGATTATTTCTCATAAATATTACGTCTACATTCGATCTCGCAAATACAGCAAACCCTTCCCTCTAGCGAAGTGCAGTTCGGGGGTCACCTCATAGATAACGCCGGCATGCCAGTTTCTTTTCTCTTCGTAAGAAATTACAAGAACTCGGTCGTCAGCAAACGTAAAGGCCTGTTCACACACTGCACTCCTTCCGGAGAGGCAAAAAACAAGTTTTTCAACCTTTCATTACGGCTCACTACCGGCGCCGCAGCAGCGCAACTGGTCGTAAGTCGGGATAAGACGCTTAAACGCCAGTTGTGTCAATGTCGGTTGAAGTCAAACGCGAGTGTGTTAACGGGCCTCTAGGTGTCTCTCTGGCGCGCTACCTGAGACCTATTCGGAAGAAAAAAAAAACGAGGCTGCACGTGTCCATCCGTTCCAACCAGACAAAAGCTGTCGGCGCCAAGGCCACTAGATTTTCGCGGAGTAATACCCGTGCGACACGGGCAACTCGAATGCCATTTACAACGAATGACATTTGGGCGGACGGCCAATCAGTGCGCGACACTCCGGGCGTGGCGCATTCCACGCGCGACAGATTGCGAGCTGATTCGCCGATCACACAAATGTGATTCGTTGTAAAGGGCATTCGGTTGCCCGTGTGGCACGGGTATAAGATGTATTCCCCAATGAAGTGTTTTGTATACGGCTATCTCTTTCACTCTTTTCAACAGAGGCGCAACACTGCAACGAATAAGTTTCACAGGGTTGTTGTCGAATGTTAGTTACACGATGACTGTTTCGAAATGAGAAGCTTGACCTTCAATTGCGACTTCGGAAAGTCGAGCACAATATACTCGAACAAAGATTGACAGAGTGAAGATAGTACTGGAGTCTTTTTGCAACACAATGAATCTATACCTGAAAGAGAGCGGCCATGCAGAAGAGCGTGATGAAGACTACGTTGGTGATCAGGGTGCCATTCTTGGCGAGCGATACGAGGTTCATGAATACCAGGTGACCGGGCACTACCAGCGCAACCAGCACATATCCACTGCGACTACTAGTTTCGCCAACTGCAAAACAAGCGTAAAGGATAGTTAACGGGTTGCATATTGAAAGTAAAGCGTACAAACACGAATGCAAAGTTACTGTGGTGGTCTGGTATGTGCCTGCACCAGGGTGTGTATTTGGGCGAATCGGTGCATGATGAGAATAATGTACCTGGCCGAGGCCTTTAAATGACATAGAATATTCTAAATTAATTAACATTTTTAATAAAATCGGTACATAGCAGATGAGTTTCAACTCTCAACTGCCTTGTGGAGGCAGTCTCGTGACCAGCTCTGGGGACAAACAAGTTTGAAGTACTTTAGGGACTGTCTTTCTTAGGTGACATTTCTGAAAAGAGGTGTGCACGCGGACGCTCTCTCGCAGGCTCGACGGGTTCGCCCTGCTTTTCTCCCTACGCAACTGGTCACTTGACATAAAAAAATGTCTCTTTTCCCATAAATAACCTATTCAGCGTCACTCATCGCATGACGCGCGGAAGAAGCGGAGGTCTCGGTCGCTTGCCACTCGATCACCCGTCCATAGAAATGCATCATGACGCTCGCGACGTACGAAGTCTCTCGTAACGCCCCGCTAAGGGCACTAAAATCGGGATGGTTCTCATACAATTAGCAAAGATGTTCGCTAGAGCTGCTTCCCAGCTGCCTCCAGTGAGTTCGTGCACGCGTAGAACAATTCTCAGAAAAAGGTTCACTGTACACAAAGCGTCTGGGGACTTTTGTTTCATGCGAAAGATCAGATGACGTGGACGTCTATGCTCTGCGAAGTAAAACGCGGTACACACTCTACCCCCCCCCCCCCCCCCCCCCCCCCGGGCAATAAAGTTTGGTTCGACAGGTGGCGCCATCCTGTGCGCGATTTTTGAAACTCTGAGACGGCCCCCAGCCGCAATCACTGAACCCGATCTCGAGGTCGAATGTCCGAGTGCCCTGCCGACCTCTGACACAGAGCTCGAGTCCAATCTTTCGGCGGTTAAGCCTTCCCAAAGTTGCCCATCTCGGCCACCAGCCGCGCTGACTAGCAGCCGACCGAGGCGCCTCCTGCTCACCGCCCTGAGCCAAACTCTGTTTCACACTAAGTCCGAGCGTAACCGTCGCTACAGTCTGATCGAGTGAAGCACGCAGTACCAAAAGTGCATCGCAAAGGCGCTGGTTATTTTTGTATGATTGTTTCCACCGGATAAATTAATCACGCACAAAGAAAAAAAAAAGACAACACAGGATCACGACGTATTTACTTTGCGGGATTGGTTTGACCGGTTGAGTTTGGAGCTGCTTGACTGATTTATGGTTATTATTGTCATTGGTTGGCTTTATCGGGTCGTATCGAAAGCTGCGCTCGAACTTAATGTGAAACGGACATTCCGCTAAGTCCCAGAAGCAGAGATGGGTTGCCTATCAAACAACGTCAACAACGTGTGCAGCTTCTGTCTTGGCTCTCCTTACGAGTGTACACGTTTCCGTTGTACATTGCACGTAACTGGTATGCTGCTGTTTCATGCCAAAATTCGTAGAGGAGGTGCGAAGACATTGGTTTAAAAAGAAGGTTACCCACGTAGAGGTCAAATTACAAATAAAATTAATTACGAATAATTGTACTCGCGCCACAGGGGCGTGTGAACATATAAGACGCCGTGCTTACTTACTCTTCCCTTCTCGCCTCCCCCCCCCCCCCCCAAAAAAAAAAGGTATATTCTAAAAAGAAAGAAAAAACTATAACACCGTTTTCTATGATGGTAGTGTCTACACATACCCCTGCCGAAGTAGGTGAACATACCACCCCCGTATACATAAAAATAACGCGATTCGTCGCGTTTAAAGTGCTCCTCTTCGTCGGTGCGTTCGCTCAGAAATGGTGTTGTGACGCCAGGGGGAGAGAGGATGGGCCATGGGGAATCTCGTTACTTTTGTGTTTACAGCGGCTTTAGGTGTCGAAGAATAGCTAGAAACTACCCGTAAAAAGATATCCGCCCCTTTTTCTTTGTTATATGCCCGGCTGTAAAAAAGAAGTGCATTCTTCATAACGACGGTGAGAATTCCTCAACTCACCCGTACCGTCAGAGAGACTGACGGAGGAGCCTCCGTTCGGCACCTCCACCTCGACCGACTTCTGCCGGTGCAGCAACGTTGACATACGGCTGGCATGCACGGCTGCCAGGTTGCCGCCCACACCTGAAGCGAGACAATCGAATCTTCGAGGCTTTCTACTACGGTGCCTCGTAACACATCTCCGACTGGCCGCACCCTCAAAACTGCATGGTCTCTCGATTTCCGCCTGACTACGTCAGAACTGTGTCTTGACCTTGGCGGAGAAACAGCGACGAAGGTATACGTTCGGCAGACGCCTGTCCAGCTGCAGGTCGCTCTCAAGCTTGACAGTCTACGAATGCTTCGGAGACCAAGAGTTGGGAGGGTGCGACGACAACAACACTCGTGTTCGCTGTCACTTTTTACGGCAACTTCTGCGAACAATCGCCGGGATCGCGACATTCGGGCGACTGCTTGGCTCCTGTGGTGTCGTTTGTTGCCTCTATTCGAACGTATTTGTCAAGGGCCGTGGAGACAAAGGCAGCTAGCTTCGGCGTCGACCCACTAATCATTACAATCAGGGCTTGGCAGTCTGACGTCTCCGCGCGCTCTCATCTCCTTCTCTCCTTCAGTTTCTCGCCGTATATTGCGGCGGTAATCATGTAAGCTTCGGGAAAAAATATGTCGCATCTCTAACGTATGGTATATCGTAAGTTCATAACCTTAGAGGTAACTCGGCAAGGTATAGGAGCACACTCAGCAGTAAGATTTTGATGATACGCATGACAATTTGCAATGTGCTACTAGAATATATTTTTTTGTTTTTTCTAATCTCGCCGTGCCTATTTTGTTACTTCATTGCTGTTTTTTTTAAAGATGCCTATTTTTTTAAGTTACATTTGTCAAGATTCACAGAAAACACTGGTTAAGTTCTTATCTAAAAATACACAGAATTTTAGCCCAAAAGGTAGGTATATTCAACTTAGAGGCAACCGACTGAACCGGAAACGCTGTGCAGGACTGGAACGGAACGCAGTCGAGCACTCTAAATCTGTCTCCCGTATCCGTGTCCCACATTGGCACTTTTTGGTTTCCAATAGTTTCCGAGTGTCGCAATTTGTCAATAACAATATTTGTCAGGAAACAGATGTTATTCTTGATTATGCTAGTTATTCGGCAAAAATAACCACTCTGCTGCGAAGAAACTTCAAGTCACTGTTGTGGAACATTCTGTGGCAGCAGAGGACGCGCGCCAGAATGTGAATCCAGGTTTCTCTATGACTATACGCACGACCGAAGCCCTTCTCAGAGCCGCGAAAAGAGCATGAGCGTTAGCCAAAATTGCTTCCACACTGTACATATACTCACCTCCACAACTAGCGTGTCACGCAGCCGTTTTAGAGCGCAGCTTTTAGGGGCCCGTTTCCCTTGAGCGGCGTCGCCGTCAGCATAACCGCGAGGTCACGTGACCCCCCTCAGGCCACGTGACCCCCTGAGGTCACGTGACCGCCTGAGGCCACGTGACTCCTTGAGGTCACGTTACCCCCCTGACGCCACGTGACCACCTGAGGTCACGTGACCCCCCTCTCCCGAAGTCATGTGCCCCTTCTGACGTCACACGAACCCCCCCCCCCCCCGTGAAGTCATGTGACCTCAGGGAGTCACCTATCGCTCAGTACGCTTCCATCCTCCTCTTCAAGAGCTGCGCTCTAACCGGCGTTACAGGGAATTAATTGTAAACGGCTTTCATTTTTAATCTGTTTTTCATCACTAGTGAGACTCGACACCGGGCCTACATTTATGTGGCGTGTTTCATTAAATCTTGACATTGCAGAACCTGTGTCCGCCGCAGAACTGCACTAGTAGCGCCAGAAAGATGCAACTATAGTAGAGATCAAACGTCGGCTACACACTTGAAATTGACTTAGGGCCCCTAATCTACACGGCGGGACCCAGGAGCCGCCTGCTGCGATTGGACAGCGTCGCGCCGTCGACCAATCGGAGCGGGCGACGAGGTCCCCGTCCCTTGCTCCCGACGTCTAGATTAAGAGATTAGGCCTCAGGTGTCTCTTCAAGGATACAAAGGGTGTTTTTTAGATTTTACTAATTTGTTTTAGAAAATCTGTAAAAGCTACACCGCATAACTATAACCCGTGTAGGTTATAGTTATACGGCCACGGGGACGCACAAGGGGGCTAAGTGTCACAGTGATTGAAAGAATTAACTAAATGTGTTAATTATTTTCTTCAATAATAAAACAAAAATATGGTTGCAATTAGAAACTTGCTGAGCGTCATCAAAAACTATTCAATCAGCAAATAAAAACAAATATATGAAGCGTTTGGGAGGTGCGCTAAAGCTACCATTCAGCAGGCGCAAAACTGGCTGTGTGAAAACGCGCATGATATTCTTTATCCACACTTTCGCATCGCGTGTTTTGCCGCTCCCAACGAGCAAAAAAAAAAAAAAAAAAAAGATGAGGAAATTATGGCAAGGCTCTGCGTGCTTTCAGGCTCTCAACACCTACTGTCTACATAGCCTGGCTGCTGTAGTAAAACTTCTACATCACCTACCGGGGGTCGCCGCGGGGCGCATATCTGACACGAGTGCTGCGCCAACATTCGGTTGGGACTTGGGTTCTCACTGATTGGACCCGAGTGCCAGCCGAACGCTGGTGCAGCCCTCGTGTCCAATCAGCGACCCGCGTCGGCCTCCTGTCGGGGACGTCGGAAATTCAGCACCACGGCCTTGCTATTCAGGAAGTGTGAGCAAGGATCATCGGACTTTTCGCTACTAAAAAGAAAATGAAACACTTTCTGGGAGAAGGGGCATTGAATGAGAGAAATTGCGACACAAGAAACGGAAAGGGCAAAAAACCGCATGCTTAATGCTGTAGCGGAAGCGTGGTATCAACATGAACATATTTGAATTATAGACAAGGACAGGAAGGAGAATGTTTGTACCGTTCATGAGCGGCTGGAAAGCTGCCATGCTTGTGAACTTTTTGATGGCGACATCCAAAATGTTCCCGCTCAAGCTGCGAAAAAACAAACAAAAATCATTGTGCTTCATGCAATACGACAGAGACGCGAAACTTCTATAAAACATTAAAGTGAGCTAGATGGTGTAGCATAATGAACGCATATAGCGCTAGTCCCGTCTCCGTCTCCATTGCCTGTCCTTCGAGCTATATATTAAACATAACTTAAATTCGCTTTTTGAAAGAAAAAAAAATTAGTAAAAAGGACGAGAAAATAAACTCTAAAATGTGCAACTCGCCATGAGTGAACATTGCATAGGCTAAAATATCTTGTGAACTCAAATTTTGGCGCAATCCAACTACCACCGACAAGAACACCATTCTTGCCGTCGCACATGGATGCGGTTTTATGAAGAAAGCGGAGAGAGGGAACCTGGATTACTCTATATTCAAATATAAATTAAGATTGCGCTAGAAGAAGCTCCTTTAACAAGCTCATTACCGCACACCACTATTCCTCCGCGATGCGGAAATGTTCCTCTACCAGGGCGTCTGACGCGCTGATGTGATAAAACTCGTCGTTGTTACTGTCTTTTCTGGTTGGCCCGCGGAGCTATGGGATGTCGCGCCTGGTACAACGTGGTATTTATCGTGTGCATTTGTTACCACAGTTTGTCTTTCGTAACTGCAAGTGCGACACAATTACAAACGTTATCCTCGGGGGAACAAAAAACACATTGGTGATACAATTTCGTAAAGAAATATATTTTCATAACCTATACTAGGACCGCACCGCCCAAACTCCAATTTGTAAATGGTACCACCATAAAGAACGCTGAACGACACCGATACGTGTCCTCCTCCCCTCTCTAACGTGGTTTAAGTATGACTTCAAGAGCGACACACCTCGATAGCTACGTTTATTTATTTCCAAGAAATTAAAAATTTAACAAAATATATGAAACAACATTTTCCGACAGAAAAGCTAACTGAAGGTTTTTTAAACGGCAGATAGCATTTGAATACCTTTTCTCGTGAAGTCACAAATGACTAAGCAAAACCCGCGCTCCATTAGAACGAAACACCCACAACAATTTGAGTTGTCACAGTAGTTCTTTTTCTTTAATATTGGACAAATGAATTGCAACCTAATAAATGACTTAGCGCGTATCTTCAAATCACTCAATAAAAGTCAGTAGCCTACCTTGATATTAGCATGGCGCAGATTATGGGCACCCATCCGGAGGAAAGCACGTCTCGGGTGTTTTGGTTCTTGTACGCCACGTACGCCCACAGAGGTACCAGGAGCAGCAGCGGCCCGGACACCAGAAGCGAAAGCCACGGATCTGAATTGGACGAAGCGCAATTCATAACGACGAGACTCAATTCGAACACATCTTTGGAGCTGTCCTTCACTATTCACGTCTCCAGCTCGTTGCTCGCCCTCCCGCGGCGGTAACGGGAAGCGCTCTAGTGAGGGTCCCCCGATTCTCCTGTTCAGCGGGCGCGGCGGAACTGCGCACGATCATGGCTCGCGAAATGTCATTTTCGAAAGCGAACAACACTCTTCACTGTCCCAAAATAGTGGTGCAGCCGGTATAGGGTTGTACCTTACACAGTAAAAGAGTTTACACCTTTAAGGGTGTAAAAGGGGTGTTGTAGCAACTCACAGCCTCGGTTACACCCCTTTTGAGACCCTAAAATCTAGTAATACACCCTCATAATTTTACCGAAAGAGGTGGTGTTTCGTGTTACACCCTCAATTTAGTGAAGGGTGTAAGAAGGTGTGGAAAAGGGTGCTAAATAAATAATATGAAATGGTTTTGTAAATCTTATATATATGTCTCTCTCCATAATGTACAGGTTAGATTTCTGCTTGAAAAGCAACGGTTGTCACCAGTCTAGTTTTTTTATAATGACTGTTGTAATTCATGCAAATAGCTGATAATAATGTGGCTCTTTTGCATACAATTTTTATGTTTGCAAACAAAACTTTAGATATGAGGTCACCATTTAATTTTCTTACAAATCACTCCATGCTCAGAAATCGGAAACCAGGGAGAAATGCTCAATACTAGCATTTTTTACAAATATTTATTGATGGAAGTGTCCAGTAAGAAAATCAGATAGTCTCGAGTTTATATCTGACAACACAGCTAGAAATCAAAATATAGTAAAAATGTTTGACAAATATTCATGACATGCTGCTAGAACCTGTCACATGACCATGTCAACTTGTGTAAAATATTCATTTTATAATATGGTGACATGCACAATAAGTCACACAGATAATAACCTTTATTTGGACTTCTTGAGTCACGGGCGAGTGGGCAAAGGGTAAACAGACTTTACCTTACAATGCCCCCCACCCTTATACATCGGACAGCAGAAAAAAGGAAATGGTAATAACAAAAACATGCCAACCGGTTGCAAGCATATAAAAATGTGATTAACATATGCACATTAAACAGGGAAACATGTTTTACAGTCAAGTTTAACTTGAATACACAGAAATATAACGGATGCGTAGGGCTAGACGCTTTTCACAAAACTACAAATGCAAATACAGAATACAAAATACATACCATTCATATATACATGAATTCATACACATATACAGAACTATTCAGAGGCGTCCAAAAGGTAATGTTTGTTGGTATTTTCAAATCTAGGTAATGAAGTAGGAGATTTTAATATTTCAACCACACAAGGGTCATAATGTAAAAACAGCGCAAACAAACGCGGACGAAGGAGAAGAAACACGCAGACGCGACAAGCGCTGACTCGCAACTGAAACTTTATTACTTGAAAAGAGGAAAAAGAAGAAAATAAGATAAACACACGCACACCAGGAAGACCCCCAAATCAGCACTCTCACTCAGACATGTACGTGTCAGCCCCTTCCCCTATCAGCGCAATCACATCACCGCGTGGCCAACTTTCACCCTCTCGCGCATAAATTCAAATTATTTTTGTGAAAGCGTTATTGAGGCCTCACTCACACACCGATCCCTCGTTTGCGCTCTTTTTACATTATGATCAACGAATACCAACTAGCCCAACTCTCGACATTAATTCACACAGGGGTGTCCATTTAAGATTTCTGGTATTTTGCAGGATAATGCTTGTGAGACATAGTTTGTCCGTATTTTGGGTTTTATGTAAGTGTCATTCCGCAGATCATATTGGGTTGTCTTAGTATGATAAGTTTCACAAAATCTATTTTGCTGATTGTTGTAGTAATAATATATTTCCATGGCTAATTTTAGCGTATACAGCATTTTTATATCAAAAATTTTATATTTTTTGAAGTACGGAGCTGAATAATTGGTGAAGTGAGCACTTGCGATACAGCGAACTGCTTTTTTCTGAATGCCTAGTAACCTATCTAGATTGGTTATAGTGGTGGTTCCCCAGAATAATAAGCAGTAATGTAGGTGCGATTGTATTAGACTGTAGTACAACTGAAATTTTGCCAACTAGGGAGGAGATCTTTTAGTTTGTATATGATGCCTGTGGATCGAGGTATTATAGAACGGGCATGGTTTATATGGTGGGTCCAGCTTATTGTTTCTTTGAAGAAAACGCCTAGAAATTTTAGGGAGGTCACCCGCTCCAGCTTCATGTTTTTAAAAGTTATTTTAAAAGTACTACTTAGTTGCTTAAGACTAGGTTTAACAATAATGTATTTTGTTTTGTTAATGTTTAGTTCTAGTTGGTTGGAGCTCAGCCAGAGTTGAAGCTCGCGCATCCACTCATTTGATGCACCCTCGGTTACACTTATATCTTTATCCGTAAAAAAACACATTAGTATCGTCTGCGTAAAGTATAATGTCTGGAGTTTAGGTATATTTATTATATCATTAATATAAATAAGGAACAGTAATTGCCTTAGAACTGATCCTTGAGGTACGCCATAACTTATTTTTTCTTGCTTTGATTCAAATTTTTTTTTTTATATATTGTGACTTGTCAGATAAATAGCTGCGAATTAAATCCCAAGTTATTCCCCTCATACCATAATATGATAACTTTAATAAAATAATGTGTAATTGAATAAAAAGTTTTGCGAAAGTCCCAGAAGATTCCTAAAGTGTATAGTTGATTTTTAGAACTACTTATCAGTTTATCCTTAATAAGTAACAATGCCTTTTCTGTCGACTTATTTTTCTGGAAAACGTATTGTTCTTTTACAATTATTTTCCTTTCTATCAAGTATTTTGAAAGTCGAACATTTACAACTTGCTCTAGGACGTTAGAAAATAAAGGCAGCACCGAAATTGTTCTATAATTATTTATATTGTTATGTGGGCCCCCTTTATGTATTACACACACTCGGGCTAGTTTAATTTTTTCTGGAAATATGTCAGTCAGTATTGAAGTGTTGCAAATATGTGCCAGGGGACGACTTAGAAAATGAGATGCTGCTCTGATCGGTATAGACCTTTTCATCCTCCTCCGAATGGGCACTGCCATCTTGAAATCACGTGACGCGGCAGCCATTAGGTTGCTTCAAGTTGCTGCTCCGCTCTCCCCTCCGCACCTTGGCGGATGCGTGGTATTGGTCAAATGTAATCGTGTTTTTCGTCGCGTTTCGCCGTGCTTTCTTGCCTTACTTCGAAAACTGTAGCCCGATACGTCTACTTGACGACTAAGACATCACGAGGGTTCAAAGGTCCTTATGACAACTGAGGTTTGTTTACTAATAGCGGCGGAACATTCTCAGTAAGAAACACGTATATTTATATCGCGCATCTAGGATCGGAAGGCGTCAAGAATAATCAGCGCAAGGAGACTATCTGTATTTCCTGAAAGTATCGTTCTTTGTATTCATAATATATCGAAAACAGTTTCTTTTGATTATGGCAGGAAACGCGGGGGAGGAGATAGACAACAAACGTTTGACTTGTATATTAGCTGAGGCTAGAAGTACTGCTACGTCAACATCAGGTGATTTGTTTGTTCATAATAATAATAGCAAACCTGCATATGTGTATGAGGTTCTCAATCTTTTTTTTTTCGACGTAGTCGTTCGATTGGTCGGTTTACTTATGAAGTTTAAGAAAAATGTATACTGTGCTCGCTCCCATTTCGACAGTCATGCATTTAAGTGATTTATTAATTATATTTAGTTGTTGGGACTTCCCCCGTAAGAAACTGCCACGACAACAGTAGCGAGTTTTGGAATAGCGTGCACAAAGAAATAACGTCGTTTCTATCTGCTAATCCAAAACGCGGTTTGGGTTCGGGATATGCGCAATAATGACGACGCTTTTTTTTTTTTTTTTTGCGTACGCTATTTTAATTTTTTTTCCAGTATCTAAAATCCGCAATATTTAACGCCGAAAAAAAAAAATGAAACCGTTTGCATCACACTTAGTCCAGGATTGTCGATGGCGAATAGAGCTTTACTTTTTGTGGCTCGCAACGCCAAAATTTACAAAGCGAATCTGTTTAAACAAATAAATATTTGTTCACACAGGTCTTTGAAGTGTTGCCTAAAGCTAGAATTCAGCCAAACTTTCCGAGGTATTTCTCCTCCTGCAGCCTTTAATTTTATTTAGCCAATTTTACGGAAGACAAATGCCAGATTTAATTGGACGGGCCTGTCACTTATATCACACCTCGAGTAAGCAAATGTTCATATAAAAATAATTTATTTCCAAGGATCAATATCGCGAAATGCTGCTTATGAGTACTTTAGCAGGGTTGATAATATAAGAAATTTCCTACTCGGCCTGTCAAAACATGCTCTAGTACTGAATTAAAAAAAAAAAAAAGGCCGAGAGGATACTACTTGTTTATATCAATTATCTGCGTCATTACACGATACGTTTTTAGGTTGCGAAGTTCACTGAAGGTTGGGTGCCCACAAAAAGCAAACAGTGAGTAGTAAACTCGCGAGTTCATCTGTTCTGGCTGATTCAGCTCATTGCTAATCAAGCTGTTGATATGCTTCTTCAAAATTCACGTGTTAGGGTCTGCATTAGTGTCTTTTTCTGAAAACTGGTGGTCATCTGACACGGCCGTAGAGGCCGGTAATCTTCCCTGTACATCAGTGGGGCGTTTCGCAACCGACCATAATCAGATACATCAAAAGAGTTGGTATAAAAAAGCCCGCAATTTAGGCTAAAATACACCTCGTCGTCCTCAAAGTGGCTCAGTATACCACTGTTTCATTGGTTGTGTGCCACAAGGAAAATAATAGTATCACAAAATTACGCAAAAAGAAAGTAAAACAGCAACATAGCCGCGTTCACATTGAAACCGAAACCAACCAAATTGAAGCAACCTAATGGCGCTGTGTGCATCAGCGCCCTCTATCCACCGGTGGGGCAACTACTAA